CAGGGGACAGCATTTAGGTAATTGTCTGCTTGGTGCCAGGAAACAAACCACTAAGCAATCTATGCTCACAGCTATTTTGCAAAGCTCCTGGTCCTTTACCTGATGCTGCTTCTCCCTGAAGTGGACCTAGTAGACAGTATTAGCTGCACAGAAACTTCACCCTGGATTAAATTTAAGACATGGCAAAGTAGTGCCAACAATCTCTAAAGCAAAAGCCTAAAGGTATCAAAAGCTATTTGTTCACAATTGTAGTTACTGTGCCTTCAGTACAGGCCACCACCCCAACCCCACCCCCCCAGTAATAGGGACTGAACGCAGGCCCTTCACACCAATCTACATCCCCAACCCTTTTTTAAAAAATTTTGATACAGGGTCTCACTAAGTCACTAAGTTGCCCAGGCTGGGCTTGAACTTACAATCCTCCTGCCTCAGCCTCCCAGCCTTTCAAAATCTTCCTATATAGGAGGTTTTCCTCTGCTCCTTGAATTTCCCATCAGTCAGGAGTATTTCCTCTGCTTCTGGAGAATGCTGCAAAGCAAATGGACCATAAGACAGCACAGGTATGACCATCCAGTTTAAGCAGCTGCCCTGTCAGCCTAGATCTGCAAAGGCATCATAGTCTACGGATATACCTTTACTGCTGGGGGACTTCACCATCTCTGAGTTAGAAGGGAAAATGATCATCAGGCCTGTTTTATCAGAGTAAAAGGAAATAATTTACACTGTGGTAATTAATTTATATTCTGCAAATCCATACCACAGACTGCTAGTGTAGAATCCAGACCTGCCATTTGGTCAGCAGGCTAGAAAACCAGCTGGCAACTTAACCAGAAAGGCAGAGAAATGAATGATAAAGGCACAGGCTGCCTGTGTGACCTAAGGCAGGTTACTAACCATATTGTTAAGATTTATAGCCAGAGGACCCCCAAAACCTCATGCACTCAAAGGTGAGGCTTGTGAAAGGTGATTGGATTATGGAAGCATTATAGCCTGATGTGATATTAGACAGTGGGGCCCCGTAAGAACAGGTGGATTAGAGTGGTTGCGACTTTGAAGAGTTTATCTCCCTTCCTGGTCCTCTGCTCTCTGTACTTCCAGAATGCCACATGGTGAGCAGCTTTCCTTTGCGCAGGTCCTTCCACTGTGCCATTGTACCTTCAAGCTGACCAACTGGGCATTGAAACCTCTATAAAGTGTGAGCCAAAATAAACCTTTCCTCCTTTAACTTGTGGGTATCTGGGATTTGATCCCAGCCACAAGAAAGTGACTAAGCACCTATTTAGCTAATCTGTAAGTAAAATGTAAACAACAGTAACAATTAGCCTATTATATTGGTATAAAGAGTAAATGAGTTAACATAAAAAGTGCTTTAGATAAATAATGCCTGGCACATAGCAAGTATCATTTAAGCAAGGTTCTTAAGTGGATATACCCTAAGAGGAAGAATGCACAAACCAAAACCTATCCTTCTACATCAGAGTGAACTGCTGCTTTCTGCATGAAATTGTATCCAAAAAATTCACTTTTTTCTGTTTAATAAAAAAATGCTTCAAAGATATTTTAGAAAGAAAATGCTAAAATATTATTTAAAATGTAAATGACAACCATTATATGGAGACTCATAATACAATCTCCTCCTGCCCCTGAAAATAGAAATGCTAAAAGATGGCCTTGGTTCCGAAGATACTTATTAAGAATTTATTAGCCAGGGACTTAGCTCAGTGGTTCCACCGCCTGCCTCACAAGTGGAAGGACCTGAGTTCGATCCCCGGTACCAAAAAAAAAAAAAGAATTTATCAAGCGTGTGAAAGTATTTTCCAAGTCTGCTGTTTCCTCAGTCCATTTAGAATATTAAGGTAGGAACCTGAAAATGTAGGTTCTAAGCCTGACTTGGCCAAAGCTAACCACAAAGTTTAGCCAGAACACTTTCTTTCCTTTCCTTTGGAAGTTTCAAATTTCCTTACTGAAAAATAAAGGGTTTGGGCTCAATGTGGAGTCTTAGAAAGTCAAACCTCATGCTTTCTCTCCAAGGTATTCTCTTCTATCATCCATCTCTTTAAAACTCATCTCTATGTATTATTTTCTCTCTGCATTGTCTATCTACACCTTGTCCTCTTCAGGATACTGTGTAATTTTGGACACATTAATACAGTTTCATACATAGTTCTAAGTAGCAAGTATATGGCTTCTTAGTGAAAATCTTCTATTTAATGAAAAAAATTAGAAACCTTTGGAATGATTCGTTCCTATACCTATAATATTCATCCCAATTTTTTTTCTGTGGTTTTCTGACAAAACAGTTTATGCCTGCTTCAATCCACCAAATCCTCTCTCAAATCATTTTCCTCTGCCCTGGGTTCCCCACATTACAGCGTTTCTAAGAGATACCTAAAGTTTTTCTCTTCTCCATTCATTATTCCAGATTAGACTTACATATTTTTCTGTTTTTCCTCTTTTGGACATTTTGTGTTGTTCCCCCACCAGTTCAACAGAAGTAAATTGTTGAAATTGTTGGTTTCCTAACTAAGCCTGTAGTTCCCAAACACGAGGATTTCACAGTCTATTAAAATCTTTTCAACTCCCCTCTCCTGTTAACAAATCTGAAGACCAATTTGGGGCTGCTAAAGTTTCTTTGCCTAGTAATTAAAATAAAATAATATCACCATACACTATCACAATCATTTCAGAAAGAGATTTCAGTATTTAAAGAACAGGAGGGACACAATCTTAGAATAAAATACACTCCTTAAATATAATCAATTAAAAATTCACATTCTAGCACTCTGAAAAAAGAGATCAAAGAGGATATAAGAAATGGAAAGACATCACTTGTTCTTGGGTAGGGAGAACCAATATAGAGAAAATGGCCATACTTCCAAAACTGCTATACCAATTCAATGCAATCCCAATTGAAATCCCAACAGTATATTTCACAGAACTAGAGAAAACAATCCAAAAATTCATTTGGAACAAGAAGGGACCTAAAATAGCAAAAGCAATTCTAGGCAACAGAGTCATGGCAGGGGTTATCACACTTCTCAACTGGAAACTATACTACAAAGCCACTGTGATAAAAACAGCATGGTACTGGCAAAGAAACAGACCCAAGGATCAGTGGAATAGATTAGAAGATACAGAAACAACTCCAGACACACTCAGCTACCTTATCTCTGACAAAAGAGCCAACCATCCTCACTAGAGGAAAGATAGCCTCTTTAATAAATGATGTAGGAAAAACTGGATTTCAACCTGCCGAAGATTAAAACTGGACCCCTATCTTTCACCATGCACTAAACTAAAATTGAAGTGGATTAAAGATCTAAATATTAAAACAGAAACACTAAACTTGCTGGAAGATAAGTTAGGTAGAACTCTTGAAGACACTGGCAAAGGAAAAAACCTTATGAACAAACCTCAGGAGCACGGGAACTACCACAAAGAATCAACAACTGTGATCTCATCTTATTAAAAACCTTCTGCGGGGCCAGGGATTTAGCTCAGTGGTTCCGGCACCTGCCTCACAATTGCAAGGTTCTGAGTTCAATCCTTGGTACCAAAAAAAAAAAAAAAAAAAAAGCTTCTGCACTGCAAGAGAAACCACCAACAAAGATAAGAGACAACCTAACAATGTGGAAAAAAAGTTTTATCAGTTGTTCCTCAGACAAAGGACTACTATCTAGAATATACAATGAACTTAAAAAAATCAGACCCCTCAAATATAAAGACCCAATTCAAAAATGGGCATCTGAAATGACATTTCTCAAAGAAGTGAAAGCAGCAAATAAACATATGAAAAAAATGTTCAGTCACCGGTCATTTGAGAGATGCAGATGAAAACAATGCTGAGATTCCACCTCACCCCAGAAAGAATAGCTGCTATTAAGAAATGGACAAATAACAAATGCTGTTGGGGCTGTGGGGAGAAAGGAACCCTTTTCCATTGTTGGTGGGGGTGCAGACTGGTGCCACCACTGCGGAAATCAATGTGGAGATAACTCAAAAAACTAGGATTACAGGTTCCATTTGACCCAGCTACTCCTCTACTGGGTATCTTCCCAAAACAATTAAAAGAATCATACCACAGCGATATATGCACACCCATGTTTATAGCAGCACAGTTTGTAATAGCTAAAACTTAGAAATAGCCCAAGTGCCCATCAACTGGAGACTGGATAAAGAAGATGTGGGAGTACTATTCAGCCATAAAGAATGAGAAACTAGAGTCATTTATAGCTAAACTGATGCACACTGATGCCATACTCTTAAGTGAAATAAATAGGACAGACATGTGTAAATACTAAATAGTTTCTCTGGTGTGAGAAACTGAAAGTATAAATAAGGATCAAAATGTATACTACTTACTGTGAAATAGTAAGAAAAGCTCTAAAGGATTAGGAGAAGTGGAAAGGGTAGGGGAAAGGAAAGAAGGGAAAAGAAAAAATATGAGAAAAAGAAAAAATGGAAACAAAGTCTTTGTAAATAGGGAAGGGTGGAAGGGGTGAAGGGAGGGCAGGGGAATGGGGAAAAATAAGAACCAAGATACATCATGTAAAGGTACAAGATCCCAATGATGAGTGTAACTGTATTGTATACCTAAAATGTACCTATATTTCTACTGATCTTAATTATGTCCAATAATCCATTTTGATGAAGGAGATGAAAACTTTTTTAGCTGAACTGAGTCACATTTATCTTATAGTATCTTAAACACTACAATTTGACATAGAACTGTGTCTTCCTTTGTTTTCTGTTTTACTTACATCTGTCTTGCCCCATCAGCAAAAGTAATACATGATTACATAAACATTCTTTTTCAAAAAACCTCTGAAGTATCCAACCTGTGTTGTGAGAAGCCTAAATCCAACCCCCCTCAGCATGTGCATGTGTACAAGACAACTACAAATTGTTGGTGTGTATTTTTCCAGATATTTTTATGGTACATATAGTAACATATACTAGTAATAAGTACATTTTTAAATGAGAAGGATTCCACCACTTACCAAAATAAGTCCTGATATTAGTGAAGAAGTGCCTGTCAGGGCCACGTAGAACTTTGGTGTTAATGTGTTCAAAAACATGCTCACTGGAAGAATAAAAAGAACAAGGAATGTGTGAATGTGTAAGTAAAACCAATCCTTTCATTTTTCTTTCTGGTGAAATCATTTGTTTCTGATAATGAGTTTTTAGAACCATATCAAAGTTCCATTAAAATGGTTAGCCATTATTACACAAGCTCAGAACTAGATGTCATTACATATTCTAGAAGAAAATAAGCTATGCCCAAGGAAAAAGAGCAGCTTTTCAGTTTCTACCCCCTAAAACTATTGATACAACTGCTTTTCATGGAGGCACAACCCCTCAATAGTTTAATCAAAGTTGAATCAAATATTCACTGTCGGGCACCTTCCTGATCAATTCCTATCACTCTGATCATAGGGTTAATATAGTTGCTCATTAATTATATATCTTATAAATTTAAGAAACTATCAGTCAAAAAAGGAAAGTGCTCTTATAGGTGTTCTGTAAAACCTTAATGAGCCAATAAGCAGTATTTCAACCTTAGAACACATGGAAAACAATTAGACATATTACATAACTACCAAATATTATTATACTATAGTTACCCCAAGAAAGAAAATTGGAAAAAAATTTCATGAATCAGTAAGGTAGATTACTCATCAAAATAACTACTTAATGAAAAAAATAAACCACTAAATGCCAGGCACACACCTGTAATGCCAGCACCCTGGGAGGCTGAGGCAACTTAGTGACCTATTGAGATCCTGTCTCAAAATAAAAATTTTAAAAAGGGCTGGAGATGTAGCTCAGTGTGAAGGCCCTGAGTTCAAATCAGTCCTCAGTAACACAAAAATAAATAAACAAACCACTAAAAATAAATATTCACTGTCAGGTACCTTCCTGATCAATTTCCACTGCTCTGATCATATCAACTATATAATTAATTGGGTTGTTCATTAATTATATATTTTATAAGTGTATTTTAAATTATTGTCATTTTTAGATACTGCACAAAACTCATTATTTTCAATAACCCAATCTGTTAATATTAGTAACCAATTAATAATTCAAATAATCTATTCCCAACACTAGCTTTAATGGACATTTTGCAAAGATATTCATAGTTCTTTATTGAATTTGTTTGTGGAAGGGAATCATACCCAGTCTACTTTTAGAATAAAGGTCTTTGGAAATAGAACCATCCTGCACTCAGACAAGAAAACAAAGTAATGTCACCAAAATAATCAAAGATCCCATTCAACAAATATTTATTCATTCAACAAATATTTCTCTCTGATTATGAATGTGACCATGTATTAAGAATGAATCAGTTTCCATCCTTTAGAAGCCCACAGTACAGTTGGGAAACATACAAGCAAGTTTGGTAAGTGCACAGAAAGGTCCTATGCACAGAAACTGAAAGTGTAAATAAGGACTAAAAGGTATAATAGATAATGTGAAATAGGAAGAAAAGGGGCAAAGGGGAAGGGGAAGTGGGAGGGGTAGGGGTAAAGAAGGAAGGGAATGGAATTAATGTGAGAAAAAGAAAAAATGGAAACAAAGTCTTTGCAGATAGGGAAGGGTGGAGGGGTTGAAGGGAGGGCAGGGGAAGGGGGAAAAAATAAGAACCAAGATGGATTATGTAAAGGTGCAAATTTCCAATGATGAGTGCCATTGTATTGTATACCTTAAATGTACCAATAAAATTAATTTTAAAAAAGATATCTTGGGCCGGAGATTTAGCTCAGTGGTTTTGCCGCCTGCTGCACAAGCCCCAGGACCCGAGCTCAAACCCTGGTACCAAAAAAAAAAGAGAGAGAGATCTATTTCTTGTTACATCCACTTATAAAAGGTTAGCTAGAGTTGAGAGAGATAAGGGTTTACACTGAAAGAAATAGAGACACAAATAGAGAATAAGAAATATAGCAACAGAAACATCTAGAGAGTGAGGGGTACCATTTAATAACTAATTAACCTTATAATCTTATTGATTCTTTTGACTAAAAAATATTTGGCAATTCTAGACACAAAGTACCAACATTACTGGTCATTTCAATCTACTTATCTATGTTTAAAGTTTATACCAAAGCATTTCCACGTGTTAGTTCTCACTTCAACTCCACGATGTCAATATTATTTACCTTATTTTGCAGCTGGAGGGTGGACAAAGACCTGAACACAAATCAACCTGCCGGTTATGCCCGTGGTATCATAATTACAAAAAGAAAAAAGTAGCCTTTCTTCAGAGAGGGAGCTTCAACTAAATGACGATGTAAGATAGACATTTTAAATGTTGTACTTTTTTTTTTATTAATTATATTGGTACATTTAAGGTATACAATATAACGACATTCATCGTTGGAAATTTGCACCTTTACATAATCCATCTTGGTTCTTATTTTTTCCCCATTCCCGTGTCGTACTTCTTTCTACCTCTGATTAAAGCCTCAATCATAATTCAAGTATGCCAATTTTAATTGCAAGTGATGAATACTGAAGGCCCACAATATTTCTCAGGCCCAAACACTAGGACCTCAAGGCAGGCTAGGAAATTGTCCATTCTGGGGAAGGCAACATTTTTTATTTAGTCACAGAATGTGTCCAGAGTTTCTCGTCTATAGAAAACACAGTGTCCGGCTGTGGTGGCACACACCTGTGATCCCAGCACATGGGAGGCTGAGGCAGGAGGAGTGCCACAAATTCAAGGCCATTCTGGGCTATATAGTGAATTTAAGGCCAACCTGAACTACATAGTGAGACCCTATCTCAAACAAACAAACAAACAAACAAACAAACCCCCACCTCCCAAAACAAGCACATTAAGGCACACAGTCTAGCAGGAACCTAGTCTCAAACTGTTTTCTCAGATGTCCAAAATGGAAGGGAATGCAATGGAATGGTTAAACCATCATTTAAATTTTTCCATGAGGGAAATAGGAAATATCCTCTTCTTTCACTTCATTGCTCTTTCAAGCTTGCTAACCTCCATTAAATAAGTATGCAATTTTGCTTCTGCCCTTCTTTGTTTACAAAAGGGCAAGAGAATGAAAAATGAAAGGTTAAATTGCTTGCTTAGGTAGCAAATGTACTAATTTTGAACAATTTTTCAGATTGCATGGCATTTACAATTAAAGAATTTACTCTCTTCCTCCCTACTGATCCCCACCCTCCTAATATCACAACTTTTTTTAACTCCTTTTCCTTGAGTATGGCTGATGGATGGCAGACATAGTAGATATACATCCTGCTAGCAGAATGTAGTGTCTATGTTCAGAAATGCATGTGGCAATGGACTGCAGACAACCTCTCCAGCAGCCAGTAAGAAATTGAAGACTCCAGGTTCTACAGTGTTACTTTCTGTCAACTGCCTTAATAAATCCAGAAGCAACTTCTTTCCCTGGTTGAATATGCAGGTGCAATTGCAGCATGGTCAACACCTTCATTATAGCCTTACGTCTTAGTGACTTTCTTGTTGCTGGGACACAATACCCAACACCCACAACTCTAAGGAAGACAAGTTTATTTTGGCTCACAGTTTATAGGGATTTCAGTCCATACTCAGCTGGCACAGAGGCAGGGTGGCATGGCAGAGAAAGAGTACATGGCATGGCAGAAGGGAGCAGAGGGAGAGAGGTCAAAGGAAGGGAAAGAAAGATACACTGTTTCAGGATACTCCCCAGTGACCCACCTCCTAGGACCAGGGTTCACATCCTAAGACCACATTTAGCCATGAATTCATCAGCAGACTAATCCTCTGCTGAGTATCACGGCTCCATGATCCAATCACCTTCCAAAAACCTTACCTATGAGCAAGCAAATAAGGCTTTAGGGAACATCTAGATGTAAACCATAACACCTTGTGGGACCCAGCTAGGTCATGTCTATACTTCTGACTCACAGAAACTATAAGATAAATACATATGTGCTGTTTCAAGGTGCTATATCTGTGGCGACTTGTTAATGTACCAATATAAAACTGATGTAGTCATCAACTTAATTCATACAAATGAATATCACCATGGACACTTAATAATGCAGTATGCCCCAAAGGTACTAAGAGAAGCCAAATCTATGTGCATCAAGAGCTTCTTTCTCAACTATTCATAAATAAAATGTAATTTCTACCTCTGCTACTATGACGTGTTATGCCATGGGCTGAGACATAATGGTCCTTAAAAACCTGCTAATATGAAAATATAAGCTGAGTTGAGCTTTTTTTTTTTTTGAGTTGAGCTTTTTTAAAAATACAGAAATATAAAATATCTTCACTATATTCTAGCAAACAGTCTTTTTTCTAGGCATATTTTAAATATGCAACATTTGCATGTTTTTAAAAGGTCAGTTTTACACCCAAGCACACCATCAGTATAATAAGTATTGAAAACACACCTAGAGCACTTTTCCTCTTCATTTGTTGCTTCTGTTTCTCCTCTCCCTGGGCTTCTTGGGCTGATAACTTTTTATGATAAATCCTCTGGAATTTATCATTGTGAGGAAAAAGCATGGAAATATATTTTTAGACCTGTTCCTATGGCAAGAAACCCTCATAAATCATTCTGTCTACTCTTCTTTCTAGCCTTGATGTTGCCTTAGCAACTTTACAGGTATCCTGTTTCTGCTTTACTGGGTATCTGGCTCCCCTGAGGACTGGAGCTAAGCACATTCTTTCTTTTCTCAGCTATGATCCTAGAAAATATACGGGAGCAAAATGTATTGGTGCAAACATCTCAGTGTTCATACTGCCTTCCCCCTTGCTGGAGAGAGGCCATCTGTCAACCTTCGCTGTTCTCATGAAGGAAAGTTGGGTCACACAGAAGCCTCATAAACCCTCAAGGACAAGTGCAGTAAAATCTCGGATTATCTGTTCCCTGTTATTTACAAGTAGACTAATAATGTGGAACTCCATCCTGGTCAAGAACAGGAGAAAGGTTTGTCTATGTCATATTATACTTTCAGCCATGTTTTAATTGAAGGTTGAAGACAGTTTCATGAATTTTTGCTTCATATAAACTATTAAATATCAGGAAGAAAAGACAATTATCAGTCTCCATGGAGAGAAAACCT